TTCTGTGTCTTCACTGTATCAAGGTCAATATCCTGGTTGTGATATTGTACTACAGTTTTGCAAGATGTTACCACTGAGGGAAATTAGGTAAAGGGTACCTGGGACGGCTCTGTATTATTTCCTGTAACTGCATGTGAATATACAATTATCTCAAAATAAAAAGTTTAGTTTAAAAAAAGAAAAAGCAAAATGCAGACATTCAAAACTAAGTGAGACAGCAGTCAAAAGACTGAGATTCACGACTTCCAGTGTTCCGAGTGTGCAGTTTACACACACAAGGTCACGACTAAGAAAACAAGTGAAAAGATGGAAGACGTGCACAGACGGCATTTCCCAAAGAAACTGAGTCCAGTGACCCCCAAACCTGCCTGATGATTAAAATCACCCGGGAAGTGTTGGAAATACACATTCCCAGGCCTTGAACCAGACTTGCTGAACCAGAATCTCTAAGACAGACTTAGGAATGAGAAGTTTTAACTGCCTCCCCAGCTAATTCTTAATAATAAGTAAGCAAGAAACACAGACCTAGGCCAGCCCTCTGCTTATACACACAGGGAGTTAGGAGTGAAGGTTTGGATTAAATCATATGAAGAACGTTAATACTTTTTCCTCAAATACTCAGAATTGTTTTAATATCGTTGTATGATATGATTTTGGCAATACTCATAGTCACTACTCGACAAATGCTTATCGGCACAGTACTCAAACAATCCTTTCCACTGAATCGATTCCACTCAGTTAAGTAGGTTATTTAGTAAATAAAGACAAATAAGCATTGTTAACCTGGCAACTGGGTTTGAAAATAGACCTTATTACGCTATCACTCATTTCTATTCATATCATTCTGTTCATTTAGCAAAGACAGATAAAGTCCACAAGAGCAGGAACTTCTGCCTCCTGGAACATTTTAAGGATGTTCATTCAACAACATTCACTTAATTATTATGAACTGACATTAACTATGTGCCTGCCACCATGCTTAGCTGGTTTCAGATGGGGTTATAAAATAAATATTTCAAAACCGATTTGGGTAATGTTGCAAATTTCTTAAGCAGTATGTTAACATGATTATTTCTGAACACACAAAAATAAAACACTAATAATAGCTGAAATTCTTCTATTTGGGGGTCAACCCTTTAGCTTTGAAAGGTCCTCCTGTCAGGACTGTAATAACACTGCCACATTTTCTGGGCTTTTACATTCTGATAAACCCAGGCCATACTCACTGCCGTCAAGTCGATTCCAACTCAGCAACCTGTATTACAGGATAGAGTA